CCCTGTGTTCATCCCAATGAGTTTAACCGTTCGCTCACCCTGATACGATCTAACTACCGTGTTCTATACAATAACGAGTTTTTACTATCGTGTACCGTGACAACAATAGAGATGCGATCGAAACGTCAGTGTAAATAAGACACCGCCGCCGTTCTAAGACTCCCGAGTTCACCTTTCGCAAGTGACAGAATTAAAACGAGTTCTAATGTCTGTCTTGTTTCTTTTTGGATTCGCTCAAGGACCATGAAAACCGACATGTTTGATAGTCTGATCAAACGGAGCTTGCCAGTACCGGGATTGGTCAACAAGCCTCAAATACACAATGCTCTCATTCATTCCATACAAAGTTATTAGTACATCATTTTTCAATCCCTTCCCAGTTATAGGTGTGTAACAGGCAAAAGTATAAGGAAAATAGCATAGATAAGGAAAAGTGTTCGTCAAGCCACTCTAAGTACACGATGGATCTTAGTGACAAACATGTTCCTCCAGGAATCTGTCCACAATCCGAACTGATGGTCACTAAGCCATATGCTAACAGGTTTGCTTGAGTGCAACACCACACCTTTCGACTGCACTGCAATTAGCATAGACAAAATCTGGGAATTTTGCAAATCCACATATCCCGCTATCAAATCCAGATGTCTATAGGTAGGACGCTGATCTTATCCGATTTGCCGGGAGCTATTTTTAACTTAGTACTTGTTTTCTGTATAAATCCACTGGGCTAGGCAAACCAATATGGCAATCTAAATTTCAATGATCTCTCTCTCCCTCTCAAAATGTTGACTGTCCAGAATTTCGGTTTACAACCCAAAACGTTCTCGATTTGATTCCCGGGAGTAGCTGAACCTACGGTCCAACGCTGTTTATCAACTATTACCAGGAACCTTATCCTCAATAAAATGTGTAAAACCAATTGGAGATAATAAAAAACAAAAACACTCCGTTTTTTTTCTCAGAACGTTACTATGTTATTAGAGAATCCCTTTGCAAGGCAGACGAAGTGAAAGCTATCCGTCGTCTGTTTCGCCGATTTCAACCATCTGGGGGATGAGAACATTGTATCCCACTTGACTAGTATCATTTCACACTAGCACAACAGTGACATCTGCTCGGGCTATGTTACTTTGATTTGCTTTAAGATGAATGCCGAAATCTCGAGTTGGACGTCTACTGGTAGAAACAGTCGATCGGGAAGTTCCCGTATACGGATTGTGATGGTGGATTTTGTTTTTCAATAAATGCACCTGCTCGTAAATTGCTTCAGTCCAAAGAATACTGAAGTACACGACGATAAACATGTATATTAGATGAGCTTTTGAAACTAAGTTAATATCGACAATGAAACTATTCTATTCCAGCAAATTTCAAATTTTTTAAATGCGTTTTTGGGCGTTTAAAGGGGGAAAATACGTTCGTTAGAGTTGTGAAGCACGAACTGAGTTATGTATCAGACTATGGAAGAAAAACGTACGGGGCGTGCGAACTCATTCGGTATACTGGAATGCAGGTCTGTTCTGTTCGTCTCAAAAATTAAGTAACACAAATTAAGCAAGTGGAAAACAATGCGAATCGGGAAGTCGGAAAAGATCGCGGGAAGATTCGCAAATCCAGGGAATGTGTGTGTGTGTGTGTATGGAACACATCCCGCTGTCAGCTTGACGAAATTTTGCTACAACTTACAAATAGCTATTCTGATCGAGAAATCTTAAAAGCCCCAGAGCGAGAGAGAGAACTTTACTCTTGAAACAGATGGCCTTGTTCAAATTCAAAATGAGCCATGAAACCAATTAACTACTGTGCTCTGTCGGTGTGTCATCTATTTCGTGAGACCTCTTTGCCCTATTAAAAAAAACAGTTGATCCAATTAAGGTATATAGTCAGACTAAGTGAGCA